GGCAGGACTCCTCCCGCCCTGCGGAACACGGTTCAGTACCAGAGGCCCTCCAGCGGCAGCATGATGTCCTCCTCGCCCGACTGGCCTGGCAGCGGGGCCCGCCTCAGGCAGCAGTCTTCCTCCTCCAAGGGCGACAGCCCTGAGATGAAGCAGCGTACGATGCACAAGCAGGTTAGTTCCCGGAGGATGTACCCAGCAGAGACGGCCTCGGGGGTTGAAGGGGCTGGGCTGGGGTCAGGCCCTGAACCTGGAGAAAAAATTGGCTGTGTGGGGTTTGCTGCAATGGGAGGGGATGTCGTGCTGGTTTTGAGTCACTGAATCAGTGCCAGCACCATGGTGGCATGTGCATATGGGGATGTACCTTGGCTCTTGCACCCAGCTTGGCCTGAGACGGAGGCCCTCCATGGAAGGGGGACACATCAGTGTTTGTTCTCTGCGTTCCTCCATTGTGTGGCGCGTCGGAGTGTGACTGCCACAAGGCAGAAGCTGGTGGAGCCATGAGAGCAATGGCAGCCGTGCCTCTGTCCTGCTCTACCATCTCGTCACTGCTTTGCCTCTTCATGTGCAGGCTGTCATCCCATGCCATAGTCAATCCAGCGCCATCTCACGGACTTGGACCAGGCCCTAATCTTCTCTTGTAAATAAGGAGTCTCCCTGCTGTTACTACTGTTCCATTAGAGCTGTGGTGCTCCTGGACGCTTCTATTTGTTTGCTCTTTTAGACCCTCCCATAAGGGAATCTGGGGAGGTGAGAGCAGCACGGAAGGAGTGTTTTTCCCATCAGGAGTGAAGTTCCTGCCGTGCAGAGCTCTGCAGTGCTTCAGGTCTCACAGCATATGCTGGTCTGCACAGAAATAGGTTCTGCTATTCATGGTGCTAAAAGTGAAAGCAGTGGGTCACAGGCCCAGGGTCCTCCGGTTTTCCTGGCATGGGTAAATTGTTTTTCTAGTGCTTATTTATTCATTTTTACCTTTCAGAACTAACCCTATAGAAAGTCAACACAGTAGGGACTCAGTGCCTAAAGGAAGAGTTTTAAAAGTAATCCAAATCCAGAGAACGTGGACAGCTGGCAGGAGCTCACTGCATTTCACCTCAGACACGGTGTTAAGGCTCCTTGTAAGCAGAACAGGGCGGAAAGAGCAACAGAGAGTTGGTTTAACTGCCACTCCTTTTCAGTGCCGCTCTGGAGGCCTTTGTCAGTGCTGCCCATTAAAGGCTGTTTTATCAGCCTGCTCTGGAGCTGTTCCGTGCTCACGGTATTGATTCGTAAGTGCTGACATTAGCAAGCATGCCAGGTAGCAGCATTTGTATAATGTGGATCAATACTCATTAGGTAAAGAGGGTACAGAGCTCTGCAAAGCAGCAGCCGGTTTGGTAGAAGAGTTTCTTCCAGAAAAAGAGAGCCGTGAACTCCTGGTGACCTTTGAAAAGCCCTGGCAAATTTATGTTTGCAAATCTTTCATCCACCCTCATTCTCCTCTCAGAGGTTCTCTCAAGAGCTCAAGTCCTGAAAATGCTTCTCCTACCATTAATCTGCATATTTGACTTTATGTTAGAAGCATCTGTAAATCATAATGAAACTGCTTGTTCATAGTCAGGAGTATGTAATGCTCTTTGAGAACAAAGTAATCCCATGTGGTGGCCATTTCAGTAGAATTCCCAAAACCTCACTGCGGCCAGTCAGAAGTGCTTCCCTCTACCTCTGTGAGTTCATCTATTGAACTGAGTCTAAAACGGGCCAGGCCAGATCAATCTCCTTTTTCACTTCTTCGGATAAGGCAGAAAGAGACAGAATGACTCACGCACAGTGGTCTGAGCTCTGTTAATTGGCAGTCTTGGACCAATGGTCTTTATGTTGCTGAAGTGAACCACAATGGTAATTGCCAGTGTTCCTCATAACCAAAAATCTGAGCAGTCGTCACAAGTGCAGTGCCTGAGCTGAAGGTGCAAGAGCGAGCAGAAAGCCACAAGTCAGGAGAGGATTTATAGCAAGTGATAGTCCATGAGCTAAGTCTGAAACTTCAGTTTGAGAATTCTGGAAATAGAAGACCGGACTGAAAGATGGCAGGGGAAATCTCCCAACCCAAGTGAGGTGATTAAAACCAGTCCCCACTCCTTCAGAGCGCGGGATCTCCTGTTCTGCACTGCTGCTGACTGGCTGGGTTTCTTTACTGTCCAAAAAGAAGAGGATGTGAACGGAGGAGACAGTCCCTTCCGTTTCTGACTTGTTAACTGGGTTCCTCTTGGCCAGATCCTTCGATACCATCCTTGTGTTCAGCCTGAGAAACCATGTAGCACAGTTTATAACCAACCAGGATGGAGGAGGAGGAGTTGCAGGTTCGCTTCTTCGAGGTCACAATGCGCTTGGAAAAGATCTAGGCAAAGGTGTTCAGTTTGAGTTTGCCGTCCCTGCCCAGACTAGGAAGGCAAAGCAGCGGCTGTGGCTCTGACTTACTGACAGCAGAGCAGCACTCTCGGCATGGCTCCTTCAGCTCCCATAGCTACATGACCAAACCTACAGATGAACTACTAAGACGCTGAGCGCTCGGACCTCTCCAGCGTTGTAACTGTGGAGTCTCATCCGAGAAGAAATCTTTATTTTCTGAGAAGGCACCAGCATGACCTGAAGTAGTGTTTCAGTTTGCAAATCCAATTTTGCGTATATGAAATCTCCACAGCAAGCAAAAAGTCAGCTCAGTGAAGCAGGCTGAAGAGTTGAGTGAAATCTCTGCTTGCTATGAATATACCATGTCAAGCCACTCTGCCTGCAGCTCTGCACCTTGACAGGTCATACCTTTCTGAGGTGACAACAGGACCTGTGTAGAAACTAGGGCCTGTTGATTTCAACGGGATGCCACTGAAGCGCCGCTTTGTAGGACTGTTCTGTGGGGATGGCAGAGGGAAGAACTGGGCCCACCAAAGGCTGTCTGACAGTATTGACCTAAAGTAACGTGAGGCGCGTTAACAGTTGTTCCTGTTCCCTGCCAGACCGCTCTGGTAGCTCAGACCTGTTCATTGCTGTTTGAGCAGCACGGGAGAGGGCTTGGTTGGAAGGATATTCTCTTTCTCTCTAGCTTCATGACCATTTCTGTTACAGGTTTTTCTTTTGTTATGGTTATATGTTTCATTGTAGGCCCCTTCTCCTGTGAACCCCAATGCCCTGGACCGCACTGCTGCTTGGCTTTTGAATATGAACATGCAGTTTTTAGAAGATGAAAGCATTGACCCAGATTCCAAGCACAGGGATAAGCTCAGGAATAAGGACGAGCTCAGCCAAGCAGAAAAGGTAAAACCTGATTGGATTGAAAAAAGTTTCTAACTAGAGAGAGGGTTTCCTCAACTGTTGTTCACCTGAGCACACTGGGGCAAGGCAGGCCGTGTGGCACCTCACTGCCCAGGAGAGGGGGGTGTCAAGCTGCTCTGTGCCCTGCTGCACTGCATTGCAGAGCACTTCTGGGGGAAGGTGTGGGAAGTCTTCACGTACTCTGTGACTCAAATTGCCTTCTGATGAAAGCAGATAATAAAAACAAGAGCCAGGAATCAAGTGCTGGAGCTGCTCTGGGACATCACCTGAAGCCAGCCAGCCACAGCCTGTTACTCCCCCATTCCTGTTCCCCCCTTGCTGGAGAGGAAGAAAGCTTAAAAAGCGAACCAAACCTGCCCAGGAAACAGGCAAGGGAGTAAGACAGAGGCAGCCTCATGCCTCACAGTAGGGACATGTGGCAGGAAGCAGCTTCCACACCAAAAGGCTGTAAACAGACCTAAAAATGAAGGCCGGATTCTGGTCTTGAATATATAGCACTGGGGTCTGACTTCACTGATATAGTGACACTGCTCCAAGCTTATAGTTATGTCATGCAGATTAGGGACTGGACAATCTGCGGATCTGTCGGGGAGTCATTTCCAAAGTATTCAGTCCGAGCCTGCATTGGTGGAGAGACCCTACACTGCTGGAAGAATAGAGGGGTATTGCTTCCTTCCCTTCCTCCCCTCCAGAAAAGCCTGGAGTTGGGAGCAGCAGGGAAGAGACTGAGTAGGTCTGGGAAAGGGTCATGACATAGGGATAGACATTAGCATGCTGCCATCAGAGTTGAGAATGTCCCGTCTTTGTTAATTGCTTCTTCTGCAAGATGCTTTCTCAGCAGCCTGGCACTGCCAGGACATCTGCATTCTAATGCATTCTTCCCCATTCTGATTTTGCTGTGCTGTATTGCTTTGGGGCTGTTATCTGTTAACTTCAAGTGAAATGCCAAAGCCAGGTATATAGTAGGGACTGGACATACAAGAAGAAAGCTCCCAGCTTCCCCAAGAAAAATATGGCCGTTTGTGAGTTCAGCCCACTTTCTCCTGGCCCTCTCCTCCTTAGATATTCTTATAAAAACACACGCATGCGCTGATCAGATAGATAGTAGCTGACAGAGAAAAAAGCTCTGTAACTAGCAGACTTTATTTCCAGTTGTATACAAATCTTGAATATGACTTAAGCACAGAAGGTAGAGCTCTTTTCCCTAGCAGAGACACCAGCAGGCAGGAAATGAAAGAGAAGGTGCTGTCAGGCTGGTATATCGTGCACTGGGTTATTGCTGCATTTGGTCCCTGAAGTGCTTCCGAAAGGGGGTTCAGCGCTCATTTGAATGTGAAGCGGAGATGAGAGTGATGGGTTTCGCTTTTGCACTGGAACTGGGGGGGTGAGGTGAAAGACCCAAGGGCCACACAACAAGATGCGTATGCTGGCCAGCTCCAGCTCACACCTGCCAACTCCCACAGGCAGGCAGAAGGCACTCTGGTACGGACACTGTGCATGCCAAGCGTTGTCACTAATCCCTTTTCTTGGCAACCTTTCCTGTGAAATGGGCTCAACTTTTAACAGGTGGGCACTCACATGGACTGCTCTATTTCCATGCCAGCCCAAGAGGCTGCTGCCCCATGGGGAGCGCCGGGCTCACCCCATCCTGTGCAGGGAGGGGTTCACCAGCACTGGGCCCTGCTCAGTCAGGGTAGACCGCGTGCAGAT